CTCTTTGTGATAAAAATGCTAGGCTAATCCCTTCACCATTTGGATTTTTGGTTAACATTTTGTGTTCACCCTTTTTGATAAAAATTCAAGGCTTACCCCTTACCATTTGGAATTTTAAAAAAAAATTTGTGTTCACCCTTTTTGATAAAAATGCAAGGCTTACCCCTTACCATTTGGAATTTTAGGGAAAAAATGGAATTTTGGTGAAATTTTTTTCGTCTCTTTTTGATAAAAATGCAAGGCTAACCCCTTCACCATTTGGATTTTTGGTTAACATTTTGTGTTCACCCTTTTGGATAAAAATGCAAGGCTTACCCCTTACCGTTTGGAATTTTATATAAAAATGTGTAGTCTCTTTTTGATAAAAATACTAGGCTAACTCCTTTACCATGTGGATTTTTGGTAAATGTTGTGTTCACATCTCCTTTTTGATAAAAATGCAAGGCTTACCCCTTACCGTTTGGAATTTTGGTTCACATTTTTTCGTCTCTTCTTGATAAAATGCAAGGCTAACCCCTTTACCATTTGGACTTTTTTTTTAAATTTTGTGTTCACCCTTTTTGGTAAAAATGCAAGGCTAACCCCTTACCGTTTGGAATTTTGGTGAACATTTGTTCGTCTCTTTGTGATAAAAATGCTAGGCTAACCCCCTTACCATTTGGATTTTTGGTTAAAATTTTGTGTTCACCGTTTTTGATAAAAATGCAAGGCTTACCCCTTACCGTTTGGAATTTTAGAAAAAAAATGGAATTTTGGTGAAAATTGTTTCGTCTCTTTTTGATAAAAATGCAAGGCTAACCCCTTTACCGTTTGGAATTTTAGATAAAATTTGTTGTCTCTTTGTGATAAAAATGCTAGGCTAACCCCTTTACCATTTGGATTTTTGGTTAACATTTTGTGTTCACCCTTTTGGATAAAAATGCAAGGCTTACCCCTTACCGTTTGGAATTTTATATAAAAATGTGTAGTCTCTTTTTGATAAAAATACTAGGCTAACTCCTTTACCATGTGGATTTTTGGTAAATGTTGTGTTCACATCTCCTTTTTGATAAAAATGCAAGGCTTACCCCTTACCGTTTGGAATTTTGGTGAACATTTTTTCGTCTCTTCTTGATAAAAATGCAAGGCTAACCCCTTTACCATTTGGATTTTTGGTTACATTTTTGTGTTCGTCCCTTTTTGATAAAAATGCAAGGCTTACCCCTTACCGTTTGGATTTTTGGTTAAAAATTTGGATTCACCCTTTTTGATAAAAATGCAAGGCTTACCCCTTACCATTTGGAATTTAAGATAATTTTGGTGAACATTTTTTCGTCTCTTCTTGATAAAAATGCAAGGCTAACCCCTTTAGCATTTGGATTTTTGGTTACATTTTTGTGTTCGTCCCTTTTTGATAAAAATGCAAGGCTTACCCCTTACCGTTTGGATTTTTGGTTAAAAATTTGGGTTCACCCTTTTTGATAAAAATGCAAGGCTTACCCCTTACCATTTGGAATTTAAGATAAAAATTTGTTGTCTCTTTTTGATAAAAATGCAAGGCTAACCCCTTACCGTTTGGAATTTTGGTGAACATTTGTTTCCTCCTTTTTGATAAAAATGCAAGGCTAACCCCTTTACCATTTGGATTTTGGGTTAAAATTTGGTGTTCACCCTGTTTGATAAAAATACAAGGCTTACCCCTTACCGTTTGGAGTTTTTGGTTCACATTTTTTCGTCTCTTTTTGATGAAAATGCAAGGCTAACCCCTTACAGTTTGGAATTTTAGATAACAATTTGTTGTCTCTTTTTGATAAAAATGCAAGGTTAACCCCTACCGTTTGGAGTTTTTGGTTCACATTATTTCGTCTCTTTTTGATAAAAATGCAAGGCTAACCCCTTACCGTTTGGAATTTTGGTTAACATTTTTTGGTCTCTTTTTGATAAAAATGCAATGCTAACCCCTTACCATTTGGATTTTTTTGTTAAACTTGTGTGTTCACCCTTTTTTGGTAAAAATGCAAGGCTTACCCCTTACCATTTGGAATCTTAGATAAAAATTTGTTGTCTCTTTTTGATAAAAATGCAAGGCTAACCCCTTACCGTTTGGAATTTTGGTGAACATTTTTTTGTCTCTTATTGATAAAATGCAAGGCTAACCCCTTAAAAGAGATTAACAGCTCCCTCTGTTGGTTATGCTTGTCAGAAAAAACACTTGGTGTATTTGTCTGGTCATTCGTCTAGTTTCATGGGGGAAATTAATTCTCATTCAAGACAATCAATTTCCCCCATGACAAATACACCAGACAAATACACCAAGTGTTTTTTCTGGATTTTGGTTTGCCACATTATTAGCACTGTATGGATATGTGGGCCAAATTTCTCAGAGTTGCCATTCGAAAAGCATAAAGGGTGCACCGAACAACAGCAGAAAAATTGTGGGGCCTAGATTTGCTAATGCATACATTTCTGCATGGTAGTAGTGTTGTGACATCATCTTAAAGGGAATGTACATCATTGGCTTTTGCTGTAATTTTCAGAAATGAACTATTTGAGGGGTTAGTATAATAGATCAAATGTTGTTGCACTGACATGTTTGAAATTTTGTGTTCGAAAATGCTGGAAAAACCAAGAAAAACAAAAATGTTCAAGTAGTCTGGTTCCCTGACTCCACTAAAGATAAAATGGATCAATTTACAGATGCCAGAAAATTGTAAGGTAAGGGGATCCAGTCTAGCTGGCCTGCACCTGTTCATAAACATGTAACCAACAGCAAAAAACAATTGGACTGAAAAAAGGTTAAATTTGGAGCAGTAGTCGAAAAATAGTTAGGTTTTCCAACGGTGGTCGGCCGACCAGTGTTGGAAATGTATACAAAAATACAATTTTCTTGAAAATGACTTCACACCAGGTGCTATAATTTTACAGGTTGCTTTAGACTGTCATTTACCAACATCCTAGTGAGGTATTTCGTAAAAACTTGGTAGTTTAATTTTTTGATGTTTGCAAATGTTGTATATTCCCTTTAAGTGTATCTGTTGTGCTCGGCAAAAACCATGAAATTAGTCTTCATGAGTAGTCACCATGAAAATGTAAAAAAATTAATTTCTTTGGACAGGGCCCAATTTCACGGCTCTGCTAACCACCGATTTCCAAGCTTATCCCCTCACCATTTTGCAGTGATAGCACTAGCATAAGCATTCTAAGCCAATTCTGTAAGCACAGTCAGTTATGGGATGTATGCATGCGCAGAAGCCACACTTCCACACTGACCTGTAAAATACGCTTACCGTAAGCATGAAATTTTCTGCTACAGTAAGCAGGCATTTTTCGCTAATGGTAAGCAATTCGGGCGATTCACAATGCAGTGCGCCACCAAGAGTTTGCCATGGAGAGTCAACTTTTCAAGTTTACGGTCGACAAAATAGGGCCCATTTGAATGAGGGTCCGTAGACAACTTGAGCTATTATGTTATAGATAGGGCATAGCGTTCTGCCGCCTTACAAAAAAATCACCATATTGATACAAAGAAAATAAAAGGGCATACAGATACTCCAATCATACGCTTACGAAACTACTGACCGGAAAAAACGAACAATTTCAAATGTCCCGCGCTGCGAATTTGTCCACCATCTCCCACAATGCACTGGGAAAAATGAACTCTCCGTGGCAAACTATTGGTGGCGCTCTGCATTGTGAATCGCCCGAATTGGGCCAGGTCTTCAAGGAAAAATGCAGTAAATTTAATGATTAGGCCAATGGGTCATTTGCTAAACAAAAATAAAATAACTTATCAGGCCAAAGGACATTTTACATGTACGTCAAGTGACTGCAGTCTAGCTAAATTTGCTGTTTTTGTGCAAAACTTAAAATAGGATTCTGCAAATTGACGGCAAAAACAGAAGAAAAAAAATTGGCTTCTAATTTTGTGTCAACAGAAATTTTTTTGAAATTGACGAGTGTAGGGGGTGAGTCGGAATGATCTGGACCCAAGTTCACCATTTTTGTTGTGGAAAATAGAGTATATTGAGAAAAAAACCAGCGTTTCAATTTAATGGTTAATACCTTGTCTTCCACAGACATTTTGAATTTTTCAAATTAGTGGCTCTGGTGAGGAGTTATGCCATTTTCATTGAAGTGGCTCATTTTCCAGTCTGCACACAGAATTGGTTTTGCCATGTTTAAATATGTCAATAACTTCTAGTGAGTCAGTCATCATGACTAGATTTTTATTCATTACACTACGTCACATCAGTAGCGATTTCAATAAATTTGTTGAAACATGGTGTTCTTTGCTAGCCCTTTTCTACAAAATAATGCAATGAATATTCATGAAACTTTCAACAAATATGTCAAAAAAAAAACCAGCCTATAACATATCTCATTTGCACTTGTTTGCATAACTGCTACATATTTTTAATATTTTCTTTAATTGGGTCCAGATCATTCTGACTCACCCTGTATTAGAAACTAATCCAGGGTCTCTGGTTAGCGCGCACGTCGATTTTAATCATGCGCGTCAACCTTTTTTTCTTCAAATTGTCCGTGGTAGCTACAGCAGCGCCCTCTATTGCCACACCTCTTCAAATTTTTGTATCCAAGGAATGGGGAAATTGCACCAAGGCAAATGATAGAGGGCACCAAGGCAAATTATGGAAGACCCCAAGGTATATGAGAACACAACAAAAGCAAAATAGTACCCACCTTGTCTGTACAATCCAAGCTTGAAAAAAAAAGAAAGGCCCCCCCCCCCCCACAAAAAAAACGCGTCGCCGCATCAATTCCGGAACTTTGGTCTGACCAGAGACCGAATAATTTTTTTTGTTCGCCTTATGAGAACTTTTTTTTTAGGTTAGTGCATGGGATAAAACAATGGTACAAATTGTACATATACAGAGTTTTAATCCAGTCAATCAGGAAGTCAATCACCACCCGAAATGGATGACATATGACAATTTGATTAAAACTCTACACTTTACGATATCAAAGACACTCAAAAGCTTACCACTTTCTGAAGACACAACTGAATCCAGAAAAACACACGTTTTAATCATATCCATTGGTACAATGCCTTTCAACATTTTTTTCTCTCTTTTTTTGTTTTGTTTTTTTAGTCCTGTACAATTTAACAAACTGCTTAATAATTTACAATTGAAACTCGATTTGTCACAGAATCTCTACAAGTACTTGAAAAAAAAAAATTGCGTGGCACAACTCTTTGAATTTTTACAGCCACTGTTATTAAAAAAAGAAAATGAAAGAAAATTGAACAGTTCCATATGGAACTTGCGATTTTTTGAAATGCAAAGAACCGTTTTGGTTGCTGCTGCAAATTCTGGGTGTGTAAAGTTTTGTCTAATGTTCTTAAATACCTACGACAGTTTACCCGTTTCTATTGGTCAAGAGCCCATCACGCCGGTGGTTTTTAACAGTTGATAAAACACCAACTGGGTTAAAACACTTTTTACGACACCACTGCATTCTGCGCCACATTGTGTGCGTGCAATCTCCATAAAAGGAGATTTTTGGTGCTAAGCACGCGAGGCACATACCATAGACATGCCAAGAGGGGTGTTTCACAAAACATGAGGTAAAATTGTTGAACAAAATCGTTGGAAAATTGTGAATTTCTGACTTGTTTTGAAATTGTGACCGAAACAGTATTTATGAATGGGAGTAAATATGTGCTTGACCGGTATTAAACAAGTGCGTTTAAAACCAGCTAGGAGCCTGGTTGCAGATACTGGCGAAGTCCAGGCCTCAAGTCGGTTTTAAACGTATCTGTTTAAAACCGGCCAAGTGCATATTTATTCCCAATAATAAAGCAAACCAAAATGTCTATTAGCAGGAACACGAACAAATGCGAGAATTTTCGATGTTAAGTCAAGAATGCCAACTATCAACATTAACACGTCAGGAGTAGGTCTTCAAAACACTGGGATTACGTCTTTCCTACGGAAAGCAACCAAAACTCTTTGTGAAGTCTTCACACATTTGCTACATACATAGAGTTGCCTGCACCCTACTACACGTAAATTGCAAAGATCTTAATTTCGGTTGTTAATTACAATATGTACATGCCCGTACGTCCACATTCATTGCCCAGTGTGTTATTTTACTGCACAACTGAATGATTTATCTGCTTTTTTCCTCACTGAATTTGTAATTAGAGTTTACTCAATGGAAAGAATGTTGCAACCTGACGCCACTTCAGCGGTTGTGTACAAAGTCTATGGAGAGTCAAGAACATTTTCTAAGTATTTCCTAACAAAGTTGGAAATGTTTCTCAGTCCCAGATTCATGTCTTATCATCATTTTTGCAATGACTGACCTTCATTGAAATGATATACGAAGAAAAAAACAGCGTCAGGTTGAAACATTCTTTCCCACTTAACTAATACTCTGCTGGTAATTTCGTGGATATACGTTTACGACTAGCCAAAACCAAAGAGGTTTTTATTAAAGATACATACATTGTACAGGTACATGTATAATTTTCGTTGCAATCAACTGCTTTGAGCGTTGAAAGAAAAACCAACAATTTTTTGATATAAAAAACACCGACCCAAATTTTTTCACAAAGTCAGATCTATATTTTATTCGCTATCTCACACTTTCTGAACGAGTCTAATTTCGATTCTTGCGTAGCATCAGTAAACGACCATCACACTCTACTAATGAGAAAAAAAACAAAGTATCGTCTGCATATTGACGCTCATATTGAAGATAAATTCATTGATTTACCGTACTCTGTAAGTTTTTACAGAGTCACAAAAATGGAGCTGAATATCGGCTATGCTACCCCTACATGCCCGACAAACTGTACATAACAGCATGCAGGATCGTAAATCGGTACAGCTACCAATACGGCTTACAAAACACGACACATCAACTACGAATCCCGAAATCAAAATTGACCCCCAAATTGACTTTATATAAACCGTCGGTATTTAAAACTCATAGTATATAATCTAGTCACATTATAATATTTGATTTTTATTTATTTTACTAAAATATACACACTCTCAGTACTGCATTTATTGCCGACTACCATACCTACAAGATAGGCCCATTTGAAGGACGACGATGCGTAGGGAAGCTATTGTATTTATTTACTTATATGTTTATTTATTTATTTGTGTGTGTTTTGTTTATGGGAAGCCAGGCAAGGGATAGAAAGTAGGGTTTTATTTTTGCACCTCTGCCACAGTTCCAGAAAGTTCCACAGATCTAAACAAAATTGCAAACACTAAAATGTTCGTATTTGCAAGCTTTTTATCTGCAAATGATCGTAACCGCTAACATTGCAGATCTGCCATTATCACATCATCTGAACCAAAAGACTGAGAGAAAGAAACAATTACAGCAGTTGTTGACTTGATGAGCCAGCACACCTGTTCCTTTTGTGTTTTGTTTATGGAAGGATGTCCAATCCAGGAAGCCATTTTATCATCATTTCGCAATCCTGCAACGAGGGAAAGTGCAAAATTTAAAAAATTTAGTTCAACAAAACTTTCAGATTCTTCATGAAACACATAAACGGAAAAGTAACAGTAAGTGGTGGTGCTGATAAAACACAAGAAAGAAGAAACAAGAAAGAAGTGGAACAACTTAAGAAGGTCAGTAATTAGGAAGCATCCGTCATAAAGACCATTAAATGCAGAAAAGAGCCCTCTGTTGATCAGATTGGGACAATTCTGGTTTGCAGCAAAATGGTCCAAAATGGTACCAAAAATTGCTGGTTTTTTTTCTTCTGGACATCAGGAACAAATCAAACTCAACTAGCCTATTTGAGTTATGCAGGCATGCAACTGGAAATTTAGAAAAAACGAGGGAAGTCCAAGCGTTTCGTATGCATCACGGACGATCGGCACAAGCACACAACGTATACGTCCATATGAAAAGGCAGTGTGCTACAATATGAAGTCTATTTTTGTGTCCATAAAAATGAAACGCATGAATGCAGCGCACACTCAACGTGTGCGTAAAGGACCCCAAAAAAGGTGCACATGGAATGACGTCAACATCTCAACGCCCACCCCAACCATCTTATGAAAAATCTTGGGTTTGCCACTTCAACCCAGTGCAGCATATGACTGGAGGAATACTAAGATGATGAAAATCATGCCAGGTAAGGAACTCACATATTCACAATTCTGTACAATCACCTCCACCGTCTAATACCCCCAGCTAGCGTCTCATACGTTAGCCTCCTCAGATTCCCATGGCGGCTTGTCGGGCTTGGTGACTGCGCACCGAGTGGCCAGGTCCGTGTACGTCGCCCCCTGCAGAAACGTGACCAGGACCACCGTCATGTTGTCGCAGCCCAGGCCGCCCATCTGGCAGTCGGGCGCCAGGCACCGCGTCATCAGGTCCTCGCAGATCTGTAGAAGGTGAGGCAATGGAGGTAGAAAGGAAGCTACATGCAGTTACCAGACCAAAATTGTGACTGCCATAGTATAATGAGGAATAACCCCCACCTTTGACTTTTCACGTTATACACATCGTGTTAAAGGGCAAATCATTGGCTTTCCAATAATACGAAATTTATTTATATTGAGGCACATATGTGAACATGCATATATTTAGATGCCATTTGCTTAGAAAATCCAAGTTACTAGCCAAGATGTCACGCAATGTATTCAACATACATTGTACGATAGGTTTTCTGATTTTTTTTGCTACACCCTTGCTTGGCACTCATTATTTTCTCAGTAGCTCTGTGAATTAAGCCTGCAAAATGTGGAAAACAAAACCCTGAACCCACAAATTAATTTACCAAACTAGGTGGGATTTGAATGAGCCAATTCACTAAATTCAACTGCGCATGTGCACAATGATATGGATCACGGTTCACTCGGGATAATCAAACTCTCGAAGGCACATGAACGTGCAAGGAGGCGGTCGCATGACGCTCGCTCGCTAATTAGGAACAGAAAGGGCGTTCACGTAACATTGCATCAGCGATTTTATCCCAAATGACCTTTAACCTGGACTACTTCATCCCGATACCGAACTGGCCTATATAGGTCACAATGATAGAAGCACTAATGGGGGCGCAATCCAACTGATCTGTCTGTGAAGGCCCTAGGGCAACTTTGACCTCCAACAAATATCATCATCGATGGTTCCATCTCTGAACTATGACCTATAACCTGTACCTTTTCCGGGTCCATTTTACTGGCTATTCTCGTCCGGCAGAAGTCCACCACCTCCTGATTGGTCAGTACATCCCAGATGCCGTCGCAGGCCAGCACCAGGAATTCATGGTCTAGTCGGATGTCGTTGATTGTCACATCGGGCAATGCTGATAACAAAAAAAAAACATACCAGGAATACTCAAAGTAAGATGAAAATTTGATTATTATAATGATATTTTTTTTTAAATGTTGAAAACATTAAAAAACTTCCCCTACTTGATGATCCAATACACTTTCCTTAGCAGCTCCCTGGGAAGTACACAGCAGAGACTGCTAATTAAAATGCAATAATCATCTTTGCTCTAACAGGTAGCCATTTTTACTCTTAGTTGGGAGCAGCAACTTGTGACGAAGTGCCTTGCCCAAGGACACTCGTAAGAACAGACATGTTGAGATAACGATACACACGTACTGTGGGCCTTCTGGTATTGCACTATTTCGTAGCCACTGTCTCACCTATTACTATCTGTTCCTCTGCTGATTTACTTTCGTTCCTCTTGAAGACGAAATCCCCTAACGCTCTTGAGAGTGCCAAATTGCCTGTTGAGGAATTGAATTTCGAACTGTTCCATTATTACAATAGGAAAAACAAACAGCAAAAACAATGACATACGATGACAAATAGTCTCCCCAGAAGAGAAAGCCGTTGAAACTTTTTTGGAAATATCTTTTTGTTGGGGAATGGGAGCAACAAGAATACAACAAATCAACTGTCTTTGACAAGGAAAATTCTTTTGATGATTACTGCACACCTGGTCATCTCTTAACCAGTTCGTGCCGGGATTATTTTGACAAGAACGGAACGAGGTGCGGGATTACTTTTCACTCGACCTCAAGCAAGGTGGGTTGAAGCCATCACCTTTGCTTTTAGTGACCATTGCTTTTTGTGAATCTGCTTTTCATCTGGAGCAACAAAATTGCTCAAAATCTGAAGGGTGCAAAACAACTAACTTTTGGAAGTTTCAGCTCAGTGGATGCTATGCATTTTCGGAAAACAGAGAAAACGTATACACAATTTGTTTGGGTCTGGATTCCATTGCTAATGCACGCAACCGGGCACTTCGTTCTTAAACCCCATTCAATGATTAAACCCCATACCATTTCAGGCAGGATGCTTTCTCATGGTATTTGCTGCCAGTCCTATCTTTACTTTGAGCAATGATTTTCTCGTTAAAGCGGTAGGTACATTTCCCAGTGATTGCAAACGCTCCTACATACCTAAGAAAACGAATAGATGATACTTGCATTGAACTGTCAAGACAGAGAGCAACTGAACCTACCGTTGACTCGGTTGAATTCCACCCATCCACCGGCCGCTATGATCCGCTTGGTCTCCTCCTCATTGCCAGGCTTGTGATCGTAGGACAATGCCTGCGCATGACCGCTGACGCTAGCTACTGCTCTGGAGTCTCCAACATTACCCTGAGTGTGAATCACACAGGTCAAATATTTCATCAGGTATTTTTAAATGTAGCTTTTACCCTAACTGCCTAGGCCTTTTTGCTAGGATGTAGCCTCAATCCTGCAAAATCCTCCAATTGACCGGATGGAAAAATAGCATACAGCCTCAATCCTGCAAATTCCTCCATTTATTTCTTGAATATGGTCCGTGGAGGGGTAACCACTGCCTGAATCCTGCAAAATCCTGCGACAGTGACTGTCAATATGTTGAGGCTTGGCCAGTGACATCCTGGAGCAGTACGGAGGATTTCAAGCATTATCCAGGCCTACGGTATATTTAAAACAACACAAGGTCCGGCCCAAGACCTTGACAAAGTGCATCTACGAAATCAGTAACACGCTTTTGCCATATAACCTCAATCCTCCAAATTCCTCTACTTTGGCAAAGAGGATTTTGAAGGATTCAGGGCGGTTAGGGTTAACCTTCTCCAATATTGTTCTTTTGAAACATGTTTCAATCTTAAAAATGTCATTTTGATTCCTGTATTCTTAAACGTTTCTCTTATATAGGAAGGAGAAAACAGCGCCATCAAGAGAACTATTCAGGTTGGCAAAGAGAGGAGAGAATCTTTGGACTTACGCAATATATTTTCTCGTTTTTTACCATCACAATCAGTGCTGTTGTTCCCGCAAGTTCATCCTTCATTGCCTCATCTGTAATAACAAAGACAAAACTTTACCTTTAGATCGTACATTTGTAAGATATCCTGTGTTACACAGAATTGTCCAGTACAGGCTGTGCCGTCATACAGGGTGGATAAAAAAAACACGAAACCGAGATATTATTGCTAATTGTAACAGAAGTAGGGCACATGTGAATCAAAGGGAGATATCCACTGTTAGGGTTGAATCTCCTCTTTAAAATGACACCCTGAACATGTCCTTACATTCACGGTTGACTGAGCAGTGACCAATTTTATGAAAGGGTCTATTTAGAAGCTTGCGCCACTTTTTATGGTGAAATCTCTTTTTCCCCCACCTGCCTTGATTGGCAACCATAGCCTTTCACTCTGTGACAAATGACAACACAAAAACCACAATTGAAAAGTGGCGCAAGCCTGTAAATAGACCCTTTCATAAAATTGGTCACTGCTCAGTCAACCGTGAATGCAAGGACATGATCAGGGTGTCATTTTAAAGAGGAGATTCAACCCTAACAGAGGATATCTCCCTTTGATTCACATGTGCCTTACTTCTGTTCCAATTAGCAATAATATCTCGGTTTCATTTTTTTTTTATCCACCCTGTAAAGGTAATGTTTGCTTATATTGGCTACTTTTCTAACATTGGTAATTTTCCTACATTCAAATATATACATGTAACTGGTAAGTCAGGAATTATGAAATTATGTGGAACATTAACCCTAACCCCTTGGGTATTTTTACTAGATAGTATCCTGAATCTGCCAAAATCCATCAATTTTGCCATGCAAAAAAATGTTGGTGGCCAGTGAGTCCATCAGAATCCACCAGTTAGCCGGGAGTAAATCTGTTGAGATCCTGAATCCATCAAAGTCCCCCAACTGCTTAATGTGGAGGTATCCTGAATCCATTAAAAATCCTTGCTGTACCGCTAGACTTCATGTCCTGAATCCATCAAAATCCTCCAACTTTTTCAATATGGAGGTATCCTGAGTCCGCCGAAACCCCTCGAAACAGGGGTGTGGATTTTGATGGATTCAGGTACGTTCGGTTAGGGTTAATAAAAAATGTGTATTGTACACAAACATGCCATCAGCCAATATGGCAAGAAAAGTTAATTTGTTAATACGAATGGGCATAATTTTGTTGGCTATATATCTTTGCTACTGAGATTCAGCCCGATGAGGTGAATACGGGCATGAATTTATTAAAAACTAATAAATCCAGTTCAAAATGAATGTTACATATTTGTATGTAATTGGACATGGCAATTTATTTATCTGAGAGAACCATGTACTCCATGTTAGCTACTTCTCAACAGCAAAATGGACAAGGTTTTACAGTTAAGCTCTCGTATTTTATCTGACTTACCACTGAGCATGTCCTCGTCCAATAGGAGGAAGGATTTCTTGATGCTGTCGGCGATGTCGCCTTTCTTATACGACACCTGATTGGTCAGTTTTGTGTGGAGATGCTGGCCGGCGTACTGTGCGACTTTGGCCCCTGTATGAAACATTTAAACCAAAAAAAATTTCAATTCAATTTAATAAATGAGCATTAAAAGCTTTGTGAGTTTTACGTCAGGTGAGATCTTTTTAAATTTCAAACGGCAGCCTTTTCGACAGTTTACAGGATGCGTGTTCAAGTACCGTGAGAGCAATTTCGCATGTCAACTGCTTGATTGATTGAAAAAAGCAGTTGCTGAAGTTGCGCGCCGGGGACGTGATAAATAAATCATCTCATTACACGGTGGGCAAATTTCACGTCTGACAATTCAGGTACCAGTTAAAATGTATCATCACGAGACTGTAATTGGGTTAGATAAGGTGGAATCTCTGTGCATGCGTTACAAAATTGATACTGGAACACGTACATGTACATGTACGTACATGTACATGGGTCATTCTATAAATCTGGGGTTCATTTTTTTTCCCTGTCCCTGTTACATCTGACATTATGATTTTATAACGCTGATGTACCGGTACCGGTACTCTTCATTGCAGTTGTCCTCCAAGAATGACTATGACTACATTTAGGAAACTACCTTCCCAAAAATAAAACATTGTTTAAGCAGTTCATAACCTCTGTATGTAAACATACATGTACATTCTGTGCCAAGTTGTCCTTTCGGTAAAACTCTATCAACTGACTGTTTTCAACAGTAAAGAGCTCCAAGTTTACAGGATTGACTGGCTGTGACTGTTTATGTAACTTGACACAGCTATGCTTTGACTGTAGGTGATTGATAAGCCAGCTGTGCCTACTTCTTGCCTGATTTTGTCTGTTGACTGAATTTGACTAGACACAGTGCTTGCTTGAAGTAAGCTTCGACTGCTGGTGACTAGCCTGTGTAAAAGGAAAGGCAGGATTGATTTTTTGACTGTTTGTGACTGTTCAGATAGCAGGAGGGTTAATGATACTTAAATGGCAAACTACAAAGTTCTGGTACCAAAAGTCACAAATGACCCATGTACATGTACATGAACATTTAAAACATATGTGCGAACAATATAACGGGCACATATAAAAAAATACTCCCTCAAAACCTTCACAGAAAGCATCAAACTAATCAAAGCTTGTGTTTCGCCTTCCTGGTTCATTTCCATTTCCTGTGCTTGCCGATCTTTGTCTAAGACTGCCTCTTAGAAATCCCTCTCCCCCAAATAGTTTTTTATTTTTTATTTTCTTATAAACTGACCCACATGTACACGATGTACAATTAATGTTTTTGTGCGAACAAAATAACGGGCGCTGATATAAATAAAAAGCTCCCTCAAAACCTTCACCGACAGCATCAAAGCTTTTGTTGCGCTTGAAATCCTGGTTCATTTTCAGTTCCTGTGCTTGCGATTGCCTCGTCTTCGACTGCCCCTTGGACATCCCCCCCCCCCTCAATAATTTAATTCTCTGATATCAAGGTCCTTTCACAAAGGACAAACATTGGCCTGACATTGACAGAACAAAACCACAGGCCTCATAACAGGTCCACGGCATTTTATTGAGTTCTTTCAAGTAATCATGTGTAAAAATGTGTACAATGAACTGCCTGATCTTTTTATGCATTGTAAAATAGATTTTTCTTGTAAGTCAAGTTTAATCATTTTTGAATGAGACGTCAACCAAAAAAAAAAAAAAATTTGTCGCCGACTTTTTACTTATTAAAGGGAATATACATCATTTGCTTTTGCTGTAATTTTCAGAAATGGATGGAATTGGGGGGTTGGACATATATAGCAAATATAGTTACACTGACTTTTTTGAGGTTTTGGGTTCGAAAATGCTATAAAAACCAAGAAAAACAATCATTTTCCTGTAGTCTGGTTCCCTGACTCCATTTAAGTTTACCTACATTGGGGAATTGTATGGTCAGGGAACCAGTCTAGCTGGCTTGTACCCGTTCATAGGTGTGTAATCGATTGCAAACAAGTGCGATGGTCAACTGGGGCCAGTATTTGAAAAAAAGCCAGTTTTTTCCAACTCTGGTCGGCCGATCAGCGTTGGAAATTGATACAAAAATACCACTTTTGTTGAAAATGACAGTATACCAGGTGCCATGATTTTACAGGATGCTTTACACTGTCATTCACTAACAGTCCAGCAAGGTATTTCAAAATGATTTGGTAGTTTTATTTTTTGATGTTTGCAAATGTTGTATTTTCCCTTTAAATTTGCATTATATGAAATATATATTTGCGACAAAACGATAATTCTGTTCGCTAGGGGTAGACAGTCAAAATTTATGGGGAGAGAAAAAATGAATTTGTTGAATACTGGTCCAGTGCACCATTAATGTCCCCTCCACACTGAACAAATATACAACAGGTTCGTGAATATAGTGCACATTGTTGTCGTCATTCACAGCTCAGTACAGCTGTGCATGCAGAGACATGTACTTGCAGCAACTTAAGCGCCTATTTTTGGCTGCGTGTATCCTGTCCTTATTGACTTTTCACACTGGTGCATACCAAGGAGGTGTACGGGTGCATGTACATGTATTTACCACGGCGCGACATCTGGGAATACGTGTGGATGAGCCTGGGTATCGAGAGAGACAGGAAAACACACGCATCTCCTGATCGTTACAAACGTCTGTGCTAACAGTTTTTGTGATCTGTCTTTCTCATGGGAATAAATCTCAAACACGCACACAAGTGTGTATTTGCCTGCAATCGGGGACCCCCTATTGTCCCTCTTTTGTTTGTACTCTTTATAGGAAGACCTCCCTTATGTTTTGTACACGAATCCAAATTGGGGACCTCTCGAAAATTGGGGTCCCTATTGTCCCCTATTGTCCTCTATTGTTCAACGTCCCCTACGGAATGCGGAAAAAAACTCACCCACACTCCTACATTTCATGGTCAATAGGGTAATTCTAGCGTCACACGGACATTACATCATTTATTTTAGGAGCTAAAATATATTTAGAACTAACCTGAAATGCATTTTTTTCAAATCTTACACATCATCTAGTGATGGTCAAGGAGATTACTAAAAAAAAAAGTAACGTCCGTGACAGAGCTAATTGACCAGGATATCTAATTAATGATTCAGAGAAATGATCCAAAACTCCACGTCAGTGATGTCCTTGACCATTACTCGATGATTTATATATCAGATTAGAAAAAAAAGAAGATAGTTTATTCACTGAGCTCTTAGACAGTTAAAGTAAAAAAAAATCTGTCTGATTTGTAATATTGTCTATGGCGTTGGAATTGCCTAAGTGTTCTGTCATCAAAAGCAGTTCACCCACCAGGCCTGCTAAGACTTACGCATTTCCGTGATATTTTCATGCTCACACAGGATTTCTCATGCTAAAAAAAAATGGTTCAGAATAGCTGACTGACTCCAAACTCGAAAATGATGTGATGATCTTTTGCTCCAAACAATTGCTAAGGAGGTAAGAAATTGCCTTAGATCGCACCACAGAGCATCAAAAAACCACAATTTCTCGGCGCCCTTATGCGGACTCTGAATCCTACGCGCTTCGTGTTCGAATTAGTTCTGCGTGATCAAGCTCCATCACCAAAATCTTACACTCTCAGCTCTCACTCCAAATTGGCAGCCCTGTCACCCACTAATAACCCCTGCGTATTCATATTTGAAGTCTAGGACTCTGCAAATTTAAGTTTATTTTCATGTTTGAATCCATTATCAATGAACAATAGATATAGAACGGAGGTAAAATGCTGAACAAAGACCTAACATGTAACATGAACCGGTACATGCATTGTCAAAAACTGCTTGTCAGTACATGACCTTGATGCATTGTAATTTGCCATTCACAAATCATTACGAATGACTGCAAACAATTTTTGTATTTGTTGGGTAGGAATGCCATTCATAATTCTTGGATAGCAAGTGCATTAAAGGGAATATACACAACATTTGCTTTTGCTGTTATTTTTTTCAGAAATCGATGGATTTGGTAGGTTTTTTTAGCAAATATTGTTTCGCTGACTTGTTTGAAGCTTTACAGCCGTCGATGCTGGAAAACCAAGAAAAACAATCATGTTCTTGAAGTCTGGTTCCCTGACCCCACTTAAGATGAAACGGAGCAATTTGTAGCATTTGTCGACCCCAGTCAATTTTTTTTTATTACAGATTTGAAAAGAGGACAATCTCAGCATTACTGCAGTGAAAACCACATGCTGATGTGATGCTGATGTTATAATGAAGTGATGTGATGAAGTGGCCCTATTTTGGCCTGTATCTCCAAATGAAAATTCCTGACAAACGACTCATGTAGCTTGATTGATTACCATGATTTTACAGGATGCTTTAGATAGTCATGACTGTCTAGTAACTAACAGTTTGTAAGGTATTTCATAATTAATTTGGTAATTTTGTTTTTGGTGTTTGCAAATGTTAAATTCCCTGGAGCTACCGGTAATATACATGTTTCCGTATACATGTTCATTGTAACTCAGATGTAACAGCGACGGGAAAAAGAAAGTGGACCCCAAATTTATAGAATGTTCACCCATATCTAAATGTAATAATGTTCAAATAGATTTCTGAAGTTCCTTTATGTAATCCTAATTTTATTTTCTCCAAAACTGGACACTTAAAAGGCACAGTCAAACCATACATTGTATGTGTGCGTCACATGGGTGAAGTGCACACGTACGTGTGGGTGAATGTCTGTCAAGAACCTCGGAAACGAATAGGTATAACAATACGCTCGAGGCACATACATTGTAAATGTTCAATGTTCACTATGTATTCCCGTTCACGTATGAGCGCACCCAACTGACGACACAGATCGCATCGCGTCTCGAAACTCAAATAAAAACTTGTGTCCATAATAAAGATTCGGAACAGCATTTCCCCATAAAAAAAACCTGTGTGTTGACACAGGTCGAGGACATGTTTACACACAATGTGGATACACAGCATGGGATAGATTGTTTTCACACCAAATACCGTACAGGGAAGGGGCTGAATTTGGAGGATATGAGGTTATAGCTTACCGCCGTGTCCGTCATAGACGGCAAAGAAAGCTGCGTCTCGGTCCTCATCGATGTTTAGCTTGGTCGTGTGCGCATCCTCCATATCTGTCACGGCCTGGTCAAGGAACTCATAAAATACGTGCAGTACTGTCAACTGTGAAGAGGGATTGTTTTCGAACCATGCATGCATGACACTTATTATGCGTCTTGTGTTGACACTGATCAAACTTGACATTGTAGGCAGAGGTACAGATTTTAATAAAGTGTTTTAAACTGAAATCCTGTTCATGACAATTAATGCACCAAGTTATCAGTCTGTCTCCTCACAGTGGAAATGCAAAACGCATCAGGGAGATATAAATATTTGGTTTTTCCCTCCTACTTAACTTTAGGCCAAAAAAAAATAATATTCGGTCTCTGGTCAGACCAAAGTTCCGGAATTGACGCGGCCACGCGGCTTTTTTTTTTTTTTTTTTTTTTTTTTCTTCAAGCTCGGATTGTACAGACAAGGTAGGTACTATTTTGCTTGTTTGGTGTCCTCAAGTACATTGGTGTCCTCCATAATTTGCCTTGGTGCTTTCGATCATTTGCCTTGGTGCAATTTCCCATTCCTTGGTGCTCTTTGGTAAAAAAAATTGAGGAGGTGCGGAAATAGAGGGCGCTGTTGGAGCTACCGCGGAACATTTTGGAAAAAAAAAAATATCGACGTGCATGATTAAAATCGACGCGCGCGCTGACCAGAGACCGACTTATTTTTTTTTTTGGCCTTATATATATTTTTTAAAGTTGAACAAAGAAATTGACTGGAGCAGGGTTTGAACCTGAGACCTCCAGATTGCCGTTCCGGTGCTCTACCGACTGAGCTATCCAGCCCAATGTTGGCAGTTCCCTATTTTGTCAATGTCTTTGTTAAAGCTTCACTAGTTACAGGCATGCAACTGAGAATTTTTAACAAAATGAGGAAACTCCAAACCACACAAGACTTTGTACAGTGCTTTTCAATTTGTAAAGGCATTCTCAAGTTAAAAAACGAGGAAATCAGTGACGGTGGATCCAAGGAAAAGTTGCATGCCTGTAGTTAGAAACACGGGTCTAAGTGACCACTGATAAAAATAGCTGAAAACAGCTGAGAAAGGTGAGAAACAGCTGAACTTTGGAAATCTCCTATATTTTTGTACACAGCAAGTGAGGGAAAAAGCTGAAAAAAAGCTGAAATCCAACACACAAAAAAGCTGAAATCAGCTTTAAAGCTGAGATTTCACACCCCTGTAGAAACCATAAACCAGTATAAGCCATGTAGCCAGGAATCATGCCCAAAGTCATGGTGCAACCTGGTCAGTGTCCCTTTATGGTAAATTTCAGAATTGAATTTATTTGAAAATATATTTGGCAAACACCAAATACATGTATATGTGAATGTTCATGTCCGATTTACCAAATATGCACATACACATGCACAATACAGTGTATGCATTTACACATGTGGGTTCGTATACACTTGGCTGGGTTAATTGCACAGGTCCAGTGCTGACCCCATTCACAATGCATCAATAATTATGAACGTACATGTACACTCCCCCTAGGCACTTCTTCCATCAGAACGAATTAATAGAAAAAGTAATTAAGTTCAATCATCTATACGCTATCGCTAGCTAATGCATTCCTGTGTCATGTGTACATACTCCAATATTTGATGAATTACATTTAAGAAGCCAGAACAGCAACATTGAAAACTTTCACAAAAATCACTGAGGCACTTTTTGTAAGACAATGACGAATTACCGCGATATGGGGCCTTATTCACGAGTTAGCCATTTTGGTCGAGTTCCCTGAAAGTATTTCATTAATTGTTAACTGTTGAATGGGATGGCGCCAGACTATTTATTACAGGCTCAATGCAGCCTTATTTTACTGCCATTTTTTTTTTAATCTGGCTTTAAACATTAGGGATTGTTTAATTACAAATTTTAAATTATTCATTGAAGCAGACTGGAATTTATTATAAATTAATTTCTCTTCAAAAGTTCCAAAAAGTAAGATTTTACCTAATTTTCAATTCAATATGGCCGACTCGTGAATAAGGCCCATGAAAATTGGACTCATTTGAAATGTCCTCATCCCGGAGTGAAGCACATGATTTTGACGACACATTCGATTGCCTCGCATGGCAAATAGACACGATGCTAACCGACTTGATCTTTTTTTAGTCTCATCAGCAAAGCCATGCATGCCACACAGAGAAACCATTTCGCTGAAGCTATATATAGAGAGACATATCTAAGAGAAAGAGTAAAGCTTGTTGAATGACTGGCAGTTGGCAAGTGGCATTTAATATATAAAAAAAAAAAAAAATGGTTGGATTGTTCCGGGCAGCCAATTAATAGCGCATCACCGCGTCCAACGGTAAAGGGTTAAATAACTCCGGGGGAGATACCATAGATCTGGCCAATATTGGCTGAATATGAGCTGCGCCTGAACCTATAATTGCAGGGAGATGCTCAGCAGCAAATATTTCTCTGCAAATTCATCTGAAAAGCAAAAACATTAGTTGGGGACCATCAGTCAAGAGCAATGTGTAACATTGCTTTGAGTATTTACATGTAGTGGAATTATCATTCCAGAAGGCTATGGAAAAGGTGATACACACTGTGCATACATTTGCATGTGTATACATGAAATGATATATGCTGGATCCTAATTACAGCAGCCAGTCAACATGGCTGTAATCTGGCCCATATATGTGTACTGTACATGTAATTTATTTCGGCGGGCACAAATCGGATTGGGGTGTGAATTTGGTTATGAGCGGCATATACACATACATGTACATGTACATTTCATGTCATTTATTATTTCACAGTTACATGTATTAACACACATAGACACAGAATACAATACAAACATTTAAGGTAACATGCCAGTATAACCAAAAAAAACCCCCAAAACAAAACAATTTATTGATAACACCGGCCCCTGAAGGACTGCCAAAAGCGAACTCAATGCAGTATCTGATGGCTCTCCCTAAAATGCCATCAAGTACAAAGAAAACAAAAACACGCATATACATGTATATAAAATTCCCAATCTATCAAACAAAATTTTGCTGTTAGAAAAAAAACCACTGAGACCAAGACAATGCAAGACTGGAATATCAAATCTAGGATGCAAACGCTTGGCAACAGATAAGACAATTGACAAATACTTTTGCAAATAAGAAGACTTTAAAAATTGATAAAAAAAATAAAAATTGATTACATGTAAGTTAGCCTACATTTTTACCACTTGTCCACAGCCACAAGAATTAAGTTGCAATATTGTACATGATGTGCTGCTGGTCTTTATTTAAAAGTAGGGAGAAATTATGCATTGTGCAAATAGCATTGTAAAACATGGATTCATAAATTTATGAGGTATGTGTGCATGTAAGATTACACATGAACATTATGTCAAATCTTACATGCACATGTACCTCATAAATACATGAACATTATGTACATGTACGTGTATAATGTACCAGGGCTGCCAACTTTGAGTAAGGGCTGAGAGTGACAATTTGGCGATGGAGCTTGATCAGAAGTAATCATATGCTAAATGCGAGCGCGATGCCCTAACGGCGTGGGTGTGGGGCCTGTGCTGATGGGCCCCGAAAAAAGTTTGGATTCTATCATTCTAGACGATCTGACTGTGGTGCGATCTGAGGCAATTTCTGACCACTTTAGCCAATTTTGTTTAGCAAAAGAATATCATAATTTAAACAATTATAGTTTTATTTGTTCAATTTTTATTTGCGTGAGAAATCCTGAGTGCGCGTGAGAACAAGATGAAATGCGTGAGTCTCACGCTCAATGCGTGAGAGTTGGCAGCCCTGATAATGTAAATTTGTAAATTTATGTGCATGTGCTGTGAGTGTACACGTTCTTATTTGCCGTACCTGCAAATTAAGCTTTTATTACCCTTGTTCATACATTACAGAACATGGGTTATTAATTATGTATACATTTACCTGCATACTTGTATACTTTTCTTGTATATTTTCAATATACAGTATATTCAATATATAGTGGAGTGACGTGGCCTCGTGGTTAAAGGGAAAATACAACATTTGCAAACATCAAAAAATAAAACTACCGAATCATTTTGAAATACCTTGCTGGACTGTTAGTGAATGACAGTGTAAAGCATCCTGTAAAATCATGGCCCCCGGTATACTGTCATTTTCAAGAAAAGTGGTATTTTTGTATCAATTTCCAACGTTGATCGGCCGATCAGCGTTGGAAAAAACTGGCTTTTTTTCAAATACTGGCCCCAGTTGACCATCGCACTTGTTTGCAATCGATTACACATCTATGAACGGGTACAAGCCAGCTAGACTGGTTCCCTGACCTTACAATTCCCCAATATAATGTAAACTGCTCCGTTTCTTCTTACATGGAGTCAGGGAACCAGACTACAGGAAATTGATTGTGTTTCTTCGTTTTTATAGCATTTTCGAACCCAAAACCTCAAAAAATCAGCGTAACTATATTTGCTATATATTTCCAACCCCCAATTCCATCCATTTCTGAAAATTACAGCAAAAGCAAATGATGTATATTCCCTTTAAGGGCAGTGAATTCGTGGTCTGCGTGTAATTCTGCGGGTTGTGGGTTCGAGTCCAGCCAGGGGTTATGGTGCGTGTGCCCTTGGGCAAGGCACTTTGTCACTCGTTGCTCCTCTCCACCCAGAAGTAAATGGGTACCTGTGAGGGCAGAGATGGTTATGTGATCGAATTAGCTTGCTTGCGCCTAACAGGCAGCATCGAGCTGAATATATACTCCCCAGGGAGCTGAGATGGTATTTGGAATGTTTAATTGGCCCAATGATCAGGGGTAATAATAATACTGTAAGCGCTGTGATTTAGTTTACTACTAAGAGCGTTCTTAAATGCCGATTATTATTATTATAATATATACATGTACATGTACATGTACATGTGTATCTTCACAACTTCATTGTACATTACCGGTTTTATACACATTAAAAATATTTAGAGGACTTCAGTTAAGACCTGCTAATCTTACCATCGCAAACCAAGACAAAAAAGTTAAAAAGTGATACAGCACGAT